CTCCTTTTTATTGTTGGTAGTCTTAATGATCAAATGGAAAATTCCTTTCTAGGCAAAAGTCCACAGTCTAAAGTAAGGCTGTTGGAAGAACCTTATTTTCGTAGTTCTTTAGGACTTCCTCTGTGCATTGACTTTCTTAATCGAGTGGTATAGAGGTGAAAAGGAAAACGACGTCGAAAGAGACCATTATCATATCATCGGAGACCGTGTTTCCCCTTAGTTTCTGTAGGAACTCCGAAGTGTTCTGAATGGAAGTCCTACAATCCTTCGTAAGGGGGTAGAGTTGACGGAATAGCCCCTTAGCCACTCAGGGAGAGCATAGGCGGACAAATCCTATTACACTAGCACCAGGGATGCAGGTGGCTGAGTAATTATCTCTCCAAGTCCAACATCGGTGATGAAATCTCCGCAGGTCATGACCCGTATGCCGGCCATCAAGCAATTGGGGCACGAGCGGACAACTATCCTCGAAAGGGGGGGAAGCCGTTAATTGTCATAGGTATGCAGTAGCATAGCGACTTTTTCCCCATAAATACTACGACTCCTTGTGTATGGATAACCCGTTTCTTATGATGGATCCCCGATGGAGTTCGAAACTTCAGTTGCAAACACGTTCTTATCTCAACACGTTCCCATCAGCTCCTTCTCAAACTAGAAATCGTCATTTTTACCTCCCTTGTCTTTTGTAGCTATTCCTATTCCACATGACCTTTCACTGATGGTTGACTAACTCAAGAAGCAAGTTATGGTTTATCTGGTTCGACTGCGTTAGGAGTCCGTCCCACATCTAGCACATTTCTGTAAATGAAAAAAAGACGAGCTAAAGACGACAACAGCGGTGGCGGCGACGTCGTTGTGAGTGTAGTGTTTGAAAGGCCAGAAAGACAACGCGTTTTCTGTCAAATAATTGCTCGTTTTTCCCTGCAAGAGGACCAGCTATGTGAACAGTTGTCATTAAGGTCAAGTTTCGAAGAAGACCTTGCCACCCCAGGAGAACTAGTGAGTTGTTAACGTTTGATGACCTAACTTGTAACGCAACCACACCACGTAAGGGTAAAACTTGCACTGAACCAGGGGCAAGTTTGAGTGCTGACTTGCTGTGTGCTACCGGAAGTGAACGGTCGCCCGGGTATCCTACATATCAGCCCGGAAGAGGCCCAGGACTCACGTGAGCCTAATTCTCCTAACCGCATCAGTAAAATTTGCTTTACTAACTACACCTTATTCTAATCTAGCTGACTGTAACTTCATTAATAAGTTTAGACACAAATGTACCTCAAAGTTTACGCAGTCTGGTCTCTTAGCTAGAGTTGGTTAGCATATGCCACTATATTATGACCAAAGTGCATGGTAGATCTTTAGTTATTATCAAATACACGTTTCTTTAAACTTTCAGATTACTAAAATTCCCATCTGGGCTATGACTGCTAACTAGGCTAAACGTCTCTACACGCACGTACAGGCCGCGCTGCAACTTGCCACTTACTGACTTTAACAAGTCTGATTACTATAACCAGCACTGTTGTCCCCTATTTCCATACTTGTAGCGCATGTAGGATGCATGTCTCATTACTAAACCTCTAATACTGTTATAGGAATAAATAAGCTTTCATGACTAATGTATCAAGTCCAAAATTTGAGCACGAAGCGGTGGTAGATATCAAGCTATCATAAAATGGACATTCTTTAAACCCCACTGTTTACTAAAACTCCACATACTTTACGTCTGAATAGGAGGTTACCACTTTCTACATGCACGTAAAGGCCGCAATTTTAGCTTGCTACTCAGTGGCTTTAGCAAGTATGATTGTTAGAACTAGCACTTTCAGCCTAGGTT